GGTTTCTTGTCGCTGTCCGCTGGACATCGGGAACCGTATGGGGGAGAGGGGGTAACGGGGTAGGGGTGGGGTTGATGTTCCTCGTGTGTTCCTTTGTTTTAAGGACGAGCTACAGAATACATAGGAACAATCATTAAGAAGGTTGATGAGTCCTCTCCACACTACAACTTATAACGAAAAGTACACAGAGCGGGAATATCAACCGACATTTAATTACATCAGATGAAGCTGAGTAGGCAAAAATTTAATTGCCAGTTTAAGTTTCAACAAAGTTTGAAAATGTAAAAACCTTATAAAATAAACAAACGAACAAATAAACAAACAAACAAAAAGCAAAACTCACAACATCTACAAGAACAACAATAATTAGGAGGCGAGCCAATAGTACTAAAAAATATTGTTAAGAAAACGAATACAAAAATAGCTTAGTAAAATGTACTTCCAAACTTCAGATAACAAAATTGAAATATCGAGACAAACTGTTTCCGTATCAAAATAACAGTAATAAATAAAGCACTGCCAAAGGTAAGCACTTGGCCACTTTGAGTTTAAAATTTATCTTAAGGACAAAATTTACTTGAAAATTTTTATCGTCAGTATACTTTCTACAACTCCAAACTAAACTCACAACCTTAGAATTTCAAGAACTTAGGCACTACGCATGCGCAAAGGATGAACCCAGATGGTAATGTCGACAAGAGGGAACTTGTGCGCATGCATTAGATCTTTATTTTACCCTTCAATCAGGAGGGCCTTCGTCAATCCATCAAACATAAAATAAAGGCAGCCGATCGTAAAAACATTCCTCCCATATTAAGATATTCACAGCTAAAGTTTTCCTCTCCATAATTGAGGTTTTCTTCTCTCATTTTCCCCCATAAGTGGGATTTTGGAAAGTAGTGGTCGCCTGCTTGAAGATTGGATTCTCTCCCTGTAAAGCAAAGGAAAAGTCTGAAATTGCGCTTAGGAAGGACTAAAGAATTCCCTACGGGTGAACCATCAGAAACCAAGGGGGGAGGGGGTGTCAGAATAATTTCGCTCGAAGGGTTCTGTATTAAACGCTCCTCGCCATTGTTTCCCTTCAAAGGTCAAATGAACTGATTGCCAATAAAGAGGTTAACAGCTGACGTTTCGAGTTTAAAGGCTGACGTTTCGCTCTAACGAACGGCTAAAGCTCGAAACTTCAGCCTTTAAACTCTTTACGGTGGCCAATTTACGTTTTCAACTCAGTTGATAATACTAAATTACCCTGTTCTACTCTCCCACCGACGCAGTACCACAGTTTCCTTAGAAACTTACCCCCTTTACAATTGTAAATACGGATTGGTGCCTTTTGCCAATTGCTATCGTGAGATATACCAAAGCAGGAAACACAAAGTGACCTCTTGCTGATGAAAAAAACATTCAAAACTAAAATACCACAAAACAGGGCTTCTTTTTTATGGATTCAAACCTGCCTCTTCGACATTGATTTCTTCGAAAATAAAACGGATGCTTAATCACATGTTTAAATGGTCACTAGGTGAACAAAAAAATAAATTCCACTTACTGTGTCCCACTGGGCATTCTGTCTTTCTTTCTCAAACTTGGCGAATTCTCGTCGGTCCTGCAAAATCAAAGTTCAGGTATGTAAGGAACTAACTCGAGTGTAACGCTACCTTCAGCAAAAAGGGGGTTACATATATTTCAGCTTGCTATGATAGAAAACGCATGAGAGGCAATCATAAACCAAGAAGGAACAAGACTGATAAAAGTGGATGAAGAAGATTAGAACAGACTGCAGATGACAAACTTAAAAAAAAAAATTAGGATAAATATGTCGAGATGCAAAACTCGAGAAAAAGGTCCCAAAACGGAAATGGCACTGAAAAATAATATATCTGTTTAGAGATCTACATTTACTTAACAACGCCGAAAATGGGCCACTTTCTATTCTCTTGCAAAAGACTAACGCGTTGTCTCCGTCGAGACTGACAGCCTTACATCAAGGCGCCTAAACTTGGGAGTAGTCTTCATACCTGGATCGTAGCGAGCAACTTCCATATGAGGAGCAGAGCTAGACCCACACCCAGTACTCCTCCGACAACACCCAGTATAACAGCAAGTGCTTCGGCTTCTTTGGGACAAACTTGCGAAAGAAGGAAAAACAAGCTGAAGGAACTGGTGTGTGAACAAATGCTGTGGTTTAACCTTAGAGAATTTTAACAATTGAGAGTTTAAATGTAGGTAATAACATGATTTCGCGTGCAATTTGGTGTAAATAAGCACGAGTTAATTTTTCAAAGACAACAAAATTACACACGCCCGTAGAGCGAGTGCAATTTTTTTTTTTTTTTTGAGAAATCACGTTATTACTTTTTAATAATGTACTTGGAAAAACATCACAGAATGTTACAACTTTGCACACGCGTTAAAAGAGAATACACTCGTTTTCAGCCAATCAGAAGCGCGTAATTTTTTTCATGTAGGTTATTACTGAAGGAAAGCGGGATTGCACTGGTTTTGCTTTACTCCGCTCCGTATCCCTCTCAACCAATCGTATCAAGCACTGATTCGATAATTTTAGTTAACGTATAACTCATAGACCTAAACACGAAAAAGCTACAAGCATTGGGTATACACAATGTCTGGGCATATATTTAGCGAGACCACCACTGTACCTTTCTCCTTCTGGACGGATATAAGCACATCCTTGCCAGGGTTCTCTTTGTAGCTGAAGCTGAACGAACAGTCATCATCGTCCTTAAATGTGCACCTTTCTCCCATTTCTGTTGAACAATACGACAAAAAACGATCTCGTTCGTCAAAATAATGATTGGAACTACGTGAGAATATGCTCTATTGTCTCAGCCAGTAGAACCTCAGAAGTGAAGAGAAATCTTAAATCAAATCATTGAGATACCGAAGTCGAAACTGAATTCTCCTTGTCTGCACCAAGGAAATGTATAGAGAACAGTGTGGAGAATATGCATACTGATGTTAGGGTGTAAAGAGTTAACTCTTACCAGGAGAAAGTTCATCGACTTGACTGATCTTGAAATCTTTGCAGCGAGTACTGCAGTCCTCGGCTTTGATTGCACCACTCTTGAACGCCAAACACTGCACACAGTCTTTGTTCAGAGAACACTTTCCAGCACAGCTCTAGAAAAAAGGTATGAGGATGGGGGATGTTTATTTATCGGAACACTGATACTCTTTCTCATACAAATTCTTGAGAGTAACGCTCGAAAGGTCAACTTTGAAACTCCCAACAATGGCCAATTTACGTTATCAACTCAGTTGATAATAACAAACGAAGTAAGGAAAGGACGTTACAAACTAATTAATTAACTAACTAATTTGTTAGACTTAATAGAATACCACTGACATTCTGCTAAGAACAGAGGCTCCGCTACCCCGCTTCGCGCACAGGAGCTAAGCTCAGCCTTATTCCAATTAATACCAAATTCATACAACAAGGAACGACGTGCGTTGCATAAAAAATAAATGGCCCTTAAAACACTTATAACTGGTCGTGAGTAAGGTCAACTAGTTCTAATTGCGACAAAATCCTTCTAAGTTAATTACTGTGGAAGTTTGAAGGGAATTTGAGTTGTTTTTACACATGCGCAACATCATCTTCTATAAGAAGACTACAAAATGAAACAAAGTTTAATTAGAGAAAAAACACCAAAAGAGGGAGGAAAAAAAGGTATATGCGAATATTTTAAGGATAGAAATATCGATCCGTAAGGTAAATGACGAAGTTTTCCACAATGGATAAACCAGAACGCTCCTTCTGACATGCGCATTGGACGTTTAAAAAGATACTGTCATGTAAGGAATGCACAATTTGTCTCTCTGACTATAGAGAATACTCACCGGACATTCATCACAGTACTTTCCCCTGTACACAGTGGATCCGTTACATACACAGGTACCGCACTGGCAGGAGCCATAACCATTACACAGCACCTGAAACAAAGACAGAAATTGCGTGATTTACCCATTGACTAGGGTGTAACTTAAAGGAGTGATGGAATGACTCTACTTCCAAGCCAGTAAGGGGCAAGATTGGGTCATCCCCATTGGAGAAAGCCTACAAGCACTAGCAGGCCCTGAACCTAAACATTGCAGGACACTAGTTTCTCCGCCCGGTTATGAGTGCTCGAACCCAGACCTCTTCCAGACCCTTTAGCCGGCTTGCGTTACCCAAGGCGTCATACTTTCCCGCGGGCTAAGAAACGCTCGTGCTGAAGCACTAACAACGAGGGCCTATTCGCAAGCTACCATGGGGAATATCGCCTGGAATCAGGAGCCCATTACTAATGGGTTCCTTCTAGAATTTATTCCAGAGAAAAGCAGTGACAGATTCTGGGGTAATAAACCAAAGGAAAGAGAGCGAAGTTTACTCTGTCTTCCACACCAACAACAGCATGACAAGATACAACACGTTTTGTCAAAAACCGAAAAAAAAAAGCGTAACATCAACTTTAGGATATGTTGTCATGTCTGTCTCTTAGCCACATAGTTGCTCATGTCGTAGACGCTACGAACACAAAATTACATCCGCCACTTTCGTGTTTTGCTCAAGGTCCCCGATGTTACTACCAGAAATTTAAGTTTGTACAAAGAATTCGTCAAAGCAACGAAGAGATTTGCCATTTCTCTCTTCTTCGCCGCTTAATTTACCATTGAGCCTCGACCAATTAAGCTACCATGTGACTCACCCCATCCTTCATACATCCCTCAGTGCTGGTCGTGCAGCTGCAAGATGGGCCTGTCCAGTTTCCGTTACAACTACAGTTCCCACACACGCACTGGCCATGATCAGGACCTAACAAAAACAACAACACATGAGTTAAAAGAGTCGGCGGATAATGAAAAATAAAAAAGTACCCAAATAAAGCATCTTTCTCCCCAGAAAGTTTTCTCTTAAATAAAGAAAGATGTCGTTCATTTTTCACGAGCATGGGACAAAGCAAAAACCTGACTTTGCCACAAGGATCCCAACCTCAGACCTTCCACTTTTGCGGTTGAACACTCTATCATCAGCGAAGTCCGTCGAGCAAGTCAAAAAGGAACGACGGAAAAAATTAATGCGCCACGTGGAACTCCGGGAGTGAGGCGCGCGAAACTACTTTCCGTGCGCTGATCAATATCAAATACAACTTATTCTTACCTCCACAGATCAGATCAGTGTCTCGATCTGAAGGACAATCCATGTTGCTACACTCACAGTATTTACCGTTAATGATTTCACCAGGGCGAGACTGAAATTCAAAATACATGATCAATCAGCTTATTAGAACCAAGGACTTTTCCTTCTTACATCACCTTCTTCGCAATCCACCCCCCTCTCACCCCTTACACAAGTCACTCCACCCCTCCCCTCCCTGACCTCTTAAACAATCCACCCCTCCCCTCTTACACAATCCACCCTTCCCCTCATCTGTTACACAATGCACCCCTCCCCTTCCCGCACGTCTTGCACAATCCACCCCTCCCCTGCCTTACCCCCTTATCACATTGGCAGTCTCCGCACAGGCAGGTTCCCAGTCCACTGCACACCTCGGCATCCGATGAATTGTCCCTGGGAAAAACAAATTTCACAGTTGATGTACCTTTACAGTGGAACGACTGAGGAACAGCCTGTGAAGTTAGAAGCATGAATTTATCTTTAACCCTTCCCTTCACACCTCTCGAGGAGGACTCAGAGGACTCAAGGTGGAAACACTTCGGGATATCAGAGCTTGATATGCCAGGTGTTTTAGATAAGGTAGAATTATAGGGACACAATGCCATAAGCTAACGCTCTGGGACGCGGTCTGAGTGCCATAAAATAAAGAGGTCAAATTTGGAAGGAAGTAACAAGCGGAATTTTTAGAACAAAACAGATGCAAAACTTGTTTTTTTAACTACTCATGTTTTCGTTTCACCTTCTAAGCTCTACTGTTTTAGAGTCACTTTACTTGTCAAGACCGCTGTTTGCAAGTACCTTAAATGATTTTCGTTGAGTTAAGTTTCAGTCCTGAGGGTTATATTTAAAAGGCCTCAATTTTTCATAGCGTAGAAATAAACAACCACTATGATCTTAGTAGAAAGTTGTGTACGTTAAATTGTAGAATTTAAAGGGTTTAAGTCGACACAGAATTACCAAAAATCCATGAGTTTAAAATATAATCACTCAACAACTTGTTAACTTGTTAACTAAGAATAATTTTTTTCGCCTGAAATTTGATTTAAACGATCGATGCCTCCATTCACCGATCATTCATTGAACAGAAATAGATTACAGGTTCATTACTTTAAATCCTCGTTATTTTATTTAATTGATACGGAAGTTGTTAAAAGTTATCTTAATACTTACTTTGCCGTAAAGTTGCGATTACGAACCATTTCTTGTAACCTTAACAAAGCAGTTTGATTCGATCTAGAGATTCTTTACACACAGGCAATGAGATCTGAAATTAGTTTTTTCTCCACATACTAACGCAAATTTTTAAAGTATTTATAGCATCAAGGAGCTAAGTTTACAATCTTGAAAATAAAGAAATTTTCAATCAAGTGTCAGATGTAATCCGAAATTGCGGTCGTTTTGCGGTATTTTGCTCTGTGATTGGTCCAGAAAACTCGCACAACTCTATCCTAACACCAATCACGAATTGGTTGCCCGCGTTTTCCCGCGCTTTAGTTCCCGCTTTTTCCCGCGCTTTAGTTCCTGCTTTTTTACTTTGAGTTCTCATTGGCCCTTAATTATTCTCCTTTCTTCTGATTGGCTGATGTGATTACTTTGGCTTTTGCTTTACGACACTCAATCGAAAAGCGCTCTATCAAGGAACATAATATTATTAGATAAAAAGTCTCTTTCAGAAAACTGTGAAAAGAGAGAAGGTCACATTTAAGTATAGTATGATTCTGAGCCATGTTTAATGTAAGTCTGCGAGAAATTTCTCCAAAATTATCTTTATCATTTTTTCAGCTAACTTAAAACAAACTGTTTGTTATTTTAATTAATTGCGAATTTAACTATAACATTTAAACTTCTACAATTTTTAAGTATTGCGATGACAAACCTAACATGAATATATTAAGTTCAGAAAATCAAATTCATGAAATGATATCAAATGAAAATTATGGTCAACTTCTGTCATGACAACAAGTGTTAAATCATTGAAAGTTTAAGTAATATTTCAAGTTTAAACTCAAGAAAAAAAATACCAATTTACAAAGGGTTCTAACATCTCTAAACGCTTGTAAAATAAAAGTAAAAAAACTTATGACAACAAAGGAAAAAAATAGCAAAGGAAAGTAAAATCAAAACAAAACAAAATAAACAGAACAACAAATACAAAAGTACAAAATTTTGTGAAAGACCTGAAGCGAAAAAAATCTGTGCTTTGACGTCATCAGTGGAACCTATAGACAAAGATAATTATACGCAAAGCTTGTACTCAAACCATACCTAATGCAATGTTCTGGAGAACTTTTAGTTTCATCTCGGCATTGGCATTTTCGTCCAGCCCTACGAAGACCAATGGTAATCATGTGAAAATTAATGAAACATTACGGTGATAACAGTTTTGGGAATGAATAAAAGTGAAGGAGATCTGTGCATAAGAAACCGGTTATATTTATCGCCTGGAGGAGGGGGTGAGGAGAAGGATTTCGATTGCGCTCCTAAGGGAGTGAAGAGAGAAGGGGGGTGGGGGTGAATTAGATGAAAGAAACATGCCATTTTCTCCCCCCACCCCCCCCCCCTTAATTCTCCGTTTGTCCTCCCTTCATTCCTCCTGAAAACCATGTCATCCACCAAAACTCTTCAATCATTCCACCCACCCCTCAGGAAATAAATGATGTATGGGCTCTAGGTCTTAAAAGAGTAGCTAAATTGTTCATTATCTGACAAAATTTAATATATAATTAATATATAATAAACAGGACACTACACTTCTGCTTGGAGATTCGAATTTATCTTTCTGCGTTGACGTCATCCATAACAAGACCGCTTCGCTTGAGCGCACGAAATGTTATAAACACTCAAGAGATGAAATTCGTATCTACGGGGAGGTCCACGTAATATACTACCGTATTTATTCGCCTATAAGCCGAGCGATTTTTCCAACAAATTAAACTGAGAACAGGTAAATTCTCGCCAAGGTAGGGGGTTCGGCTTATAGCCGAGTATTTTCGCCAAAAAAAATTTACGGGTGCTTGACAAGATTCGAAATTTGACAACATGAAAAACTGGCCAATCAGAAGCGGTCATTCCCACGGTTTGTGTAAACATTGCAACACGATCTGACAGATATCAGCTGATCGAAGCTTTTCATTGTTTTAAAGAAACGAAAGACTTACCTTGACTCCTCTTCTCTGAAAACCAGTCCAGTAGTGTTTGATCCAGTTCAGGATACTTTGGCGAAAAGCAGCCCATCGTCTTTCGCTTTGCTGACATTTTAAGCTCACCATTAAACAGGTTCGCTTGATCTTTTCGCCAGCGACGCACCATCGATTCACTGATTCCGTAATCTCTAGCGATCTAGAATGGTCTATGTTTATTCATAACCTACTTTTTGGTTGCATGTTTTCCGAGAGGGAAGCTCCTTTTGTTTTCGGTTTATGTTAATTCATCTCAGTTAACGACACGCGTGGAGTACTTTGCAATTATTAGGTCTCGGCTTATAGCCGAGATCGGCTTATAGGCGAATAAATACGGTATATTTCATGTTTGCCAGAGGGAGGTGAATTGTTTCATTAACTTTGTCCACCTTGTCTTAACTTTATCAACAGATCGGTGAATACATGTCACTTTAGTCTTACCAATCTTTGTCACATTTACACTGTCCACACGTTAGTGTGCCATTTCCAGAGCAAAAAGGGCTTGATTCTTCCTGCAAGAAGATACAAATGTATTCATTTTAATATAGTCTCCCCAGGGGTCTTTGCGAGAAGCGGTAGACAGTTGTGAGCGCGTTGGAAAATAAATTGAGAGGTCTGAGTTTGAGCACAAGGCGAGTCTGTTTGTTGAGCTCATGGGCCAGGTGCTTCACTTAAAATTGTCTCTCCTTATTCAGGAGTGTATATGGGTACCTCTGAAAGGGGTGAGCAATGGTGAACCAGTATTCCATTCAGAAAGAGAAAACACTATTTGTTACCTCCAGCTACAGAAAGTTCAGATGCGCAATGACCTCTTGTCCTCTTCAACTTGACCCTTATAGGGATCAAGCACGCACATGATTCTTAACTAACACAGTACATCAACCACAAGACTGAGTGTTCTGAAAAGCCCCCATTAGAGGCGCTGTGCTGCGCTCTTGGAAAAGGAACTTCCCTTTACACCAACAACGTGTTTTTTGAGGTATAAATGGATACCACACCACTGGGCAGACACCTCTGATGGAAGAGCATCAAAAAACACGTCCGGTTTTTTTTTCCTTTTTAAAGGTTACATATCAGAGCTGAGTGGCCCCAAACTGCCAGCACACATCCGCGGTTTCTGCATGTAGCACCAAGAAACCTAGAGTTTGTGTATTTCTAAAGGACAGGATGCTACATTATAAATATTTTGCTTAAAAAATTCAAAATGTTAGAGGCGACTTACTGCATTCTTATCTTTCTCACACTGGCAGCTACAAATAAAATCCAAATTTATATCCACATTTCCAAATGGTGTGACCAGAGAAAAACTGTGATGAAAGGCAGAAAGAGAAAAATTAATTATTCAAAAGCAAATATTAATGAATCTTATCTACCAAAAAATTGGACTACTAAAGCACAAAGATAGCAGTGGCTAGGGTAAATTCCGTTCAAAGATCATTCTGATTCAAGAAAGATGATACACCTACCTCTTTTCCTTCAGATTACAGTCTTCAATGGTAACTGAGACCTCAAATGACACCTGAAATAACATAAGAGATTGTTTTCCTTCCATAAAAATATTTTGTTTATTACTGTTAAGTTAATTGGTGATTTGGTGTGTTGTGATGGCTGACCTTCTGTCCAATCTGAACATTAGCACATGTCCTGGACCCAACTTGTACTCCATCACTACAAATAAATAAAGAGTCTGCTTAAAACGACATTCAGTACTCCAGCTTACACAACTTTTACTGTTTGCTAAATGCTCAGATGCTCATCAAGCACATGAAAAATTAACTCTAATTAAAAGTCAATGCTTCATAAGTTTCACGCGATTCTTAAGACTCTTAAATATCATTTGACCAATAAAATTCACGCAATAAAGAGGTGTCAAGTACTCATGAACAAGAAAAAATTCTGGCTGGTATGATATCGCGTTTTGTCTTCACCAAAAATCTTCTCAGATACCATTCAGAATGTTAAAAGAAACTCCTTGTGCATTGCACTTAAAGTAGGGTTTGCAAATTTCAGAAATTAGCAGTTTGGTCTTCTACTGCCAAAGGATTCCCAACCACACGTTCACGAGTTGCAATTAATCAAGCTGTTTCACTTGATAAAGTCCACTTGGGTTTTCAATGACACCTGTTTTCTACGCTGAAGTTTGCTATTAAGCAATCAACTTTAGCTTTAATACTACACTTAATTAACAACAAAGGAACAGAAGTTGATCACTTACGGACAGTAAGCTGTGTAATTAACCCTCACACCCTCTGGTGCTGTGTCGCGTATTGTCTGCGTTTGGGCAATTGTCTTCAAACAAGAGGGTAGTAAGAGCAGTTTGGGTAAATTGTAGTTACTGGTACTACTAAGAATTACATTTCACCTCCACTAGGATCAAGTTATCACACATTGTTAAAACAGTGTCTTCAAGGAAGTATATGTCTCCTTAAGACAGCTGTCACAATTTTGGAGCTAAACAGAGTCATCCTAACTGCAGCAAAGTATAGAGCTAGAGAAGGAATGGTATCAGATGAAGTAGTAGGTGAGAGTTATATTAACGTGGCATAAAGAGGCAAAAATCATGGAGGAGATGGTGGAGATTAAGATGAAATGAAAAGTGAGAAAGAATTAAGAGTAATAAATATGTCCATAATATTTATAGTATTAGGTGCCTTTAAATTTAGGGAAAAATGAAATGAAACTCACCTCATAAGCTTCTCGGATAAGCTCAACTATGTTAGAGGAGTCTTCACTCAGTAAATCAACCACAGCTCCAGACTCTTTGCCAAAGAAGTCAACTAGTTCCTATGAAATGATACGTTAAGGTATTAAGTAACAATAACTCTTTTCCCACTGAGCGTGTGGGCTGTACTGGGAATATTGACCTGAAGTTAGGGCTGCACGGACTAAGCAAAGTGAGGTCCATACAAAAACAAAAACAATTATCACTCTGACGAAGTGCTTACATTTGAAACGTCAGCTTTTAAGCTTTGTACGATGGCCAATTTACGTTATCAACTCAGTTGAAAATACTAAATTACCCTGTTATACACTCCCACCGATGCAATAACACATTTTCTTTAAAAAATTAATCCCTTTATCCATACAAAAACAGCCAAGGGTTAATGTTCCCCAGTACAGCTCAAGCACATGAGGTTAGTAAATAGTTTATTATAAGGTACTTAGACTAAACTTGTTTATTTTGAATTTGCCAGCTTTTGCGAACAATAATACACGGTTTATGACTGTTTCTGTATAAATAGCAATAACAACCAATTAGAATGCTCGGATTTACCTGACAACTATGTTGCCCTATTAGAATTTAACTTATTGCATGGCACAGTTTAATAGACCAACTTGACATAATTTTAGATTTTTTTTGTTGTTGTCGAATTGATTCTAGGTTCTTATTGCCATTTCAATTCTAACATCTGAAATTTGGATATAATTGCGTAAACACACATACCTTGTACTGTTCATACACATGCACTTTTGTTTTATTGATTGCAAAGATCGGTGACACTTGCTCCTCAACCAATTTCTGTTTGAGAAATCCTGGAGACGGGTAGTCCTGTGCAATGAAATATGTATTGATAAACAAAAAATAAACAGCCAAATATTTCACAGTATGACTGAACACGCTGCTCCTACTGGCAACTAACCTTCTAAATTCTCCTTAATGTATACCAAAAATTCATCAAAAGTTTTGCTCTTAGATTCTAGCATTAAAACAAGCAATTACATTCTCTACTTGATATTCTTCTGTCTCCTCAGCAGCTTTCTTGGTGAAAATGTACTGATGTTGTAAGTAGTAATTATTTTCCAGTCACTCTTGCAAGTGAGCTGGAGAGTGAAGGCCTGAGACAGAAATCAGAACCTGCCCTCCTTTACTAGCAAGAAACTATTCAGCACTTGTTACAGAAAATCTTTGTAAACAAAGAACTAGTGGCTCACCATTGTTGTTGAGGCCATGTACTTGCCATGTTCTGTATGACAGTGACCATCATTTGGTATGATAATTCCACCAAGCTGTATCCAAAAAGAAAAAGACACCAAAAGTTACAAAATTTGACACAAATCTGACTATAATCAATCCTATTTTTTTCCTCGCTCCATGACTAGTCTAAATTAATTGTATCATCTCAACAAAAGCTTGAACAAATAGCTCTCACCAATAGATCATATTGTGATATTCTCTAACTTTAAGACCTTATGGAATGAAAGTCTTCAAGTAAATTTGATTCAAGAAGTGAAAATGATTTGTTGGAGTTAAATAAAAGTCAGATCTCAAACTGAGATAATTGCTAAATTTACCCATCTGCTGGAAAGCATAACTACAATACATGTACCTACAACTCTCCTATTCCCATTTTGGCCCCACTATACTGTGGCCACCTCTCTATGCTGGACATGACCATCAATCACAATCAATTAAATGAAAATTATCTTTGACATCTGGAACCCACCAAACCATCACCAGCAAAATGATAATTAGCATCTGTTATAACAATAACCAATCTCCTGGCTGACTGCTTGTCTGTCCAACCAATTTTCTGAATGGAAATTAAACAAAAATAAAA